GCAAGGTGGTGGGCGCGAGGACGAGGTGTCGCTCTGTGCCTGTGCCGCTCCGCCGCCGGCGAGGGCCACGACTACCTCACTGACTGCGTGACGTCACCGGCGGCTGGCGGCTGGCGGCCGGCGGCCTGCAGCGCGCGGTACGGCGAGGCGGTTGCGGCCGCGCAACATTCAGCGAATGTGAAAGTTCTCAGCTGCTGCACTGAGCAGTCGCGACGACTACACGTTTGTACTCCACACACTTTGGCTTTTTTATTTTTAAATACAATACCTTATGTTCAGTATTGAAATATTTATAGTCAGAGTTAGTAAACATTAGCAAAAGCTCGAATATTTTTAGTAAGCTCCTTGACTTGACATTTATATGTAAACGGTTAGGCAACACTTCCATTGGCTCTGACAGATACATGTTTTCGTAACTCCGAAAATGTCCCACATTGTGACACAAAATCAATGCGTATTAAAATTTCGATTTCACTAGAGGGGAATTCAGAAGTGAGACTCGATAGTTGTCAGTGAGGTATAATTGCGAATGGCCTTGAAAGGCTCGCGTCGCATTGATTACATTCTTAAGTCATTTGATGCAAGGAAATCACGTTCTGTGGGATTAATTACTTAACTTTTGCTACGACACGAACCTCGAGACGACACGTTTGATGTAACTTCACTATTCACTTTTGTGAACCGACAGCCGTCGACGCAACCGATAATAGGAGATGCGCTGATGTGAGATCGCATCGTGTATGACGTCGCGGAATATGTGAGGACTGAAGGCGTAAGTAAAAAGGTTAGAACTCACCGCAAGCGAATATGAGACACGCGGCCAAAGTAGCGACACGGGCGTAGCGCGCCATGACGGGATCACAACAGGTCGTTGCGCGGCCAACGTGCGGTTAAATAGTGGCCTCAATCTGCGCCCCGCCCGCCCCTCTCGCCGCTGCGCTTACACTTCTGCTGGCACCCTTTGCACTCATCCTCTGTGAATCACCTGCATCTTCCAGCAGGATCAGTTAAGTAATCGCATCATAAAACATTCAAACTCCGCATATGGAACATTAAAAACCCACCATAGCGATCAACATCAATGTAGCGTATGAAAACACTCAACTCAAAGACCTGTTTGTCAAATGTGTGATAGCATACAAAGATTTGTTAACATATGACTATTCTTCGATAGTGAAAATGTAGGTCGATTTTATATGTCTGAATATATTTTTAACCTAATGTCATCTTATATAATATTATTAATAGTCGGATTGATAAGTTAAGGATATTCTAATTATTAAGTTTCCAATTAATGGAACAAAAACTACTGTTGTTACTGGTAAGATTGTAGTTTAGTCAGTTTGTAGTGTACAATGAATTAATAATTAAGAATTATTTAATCAATTATTCTTTATAAATACCCCATTAAAAGACGTCAATCTACGCTACTACTAATCTACTATATTTGTAAACTGCGAATAAGAATATGATAAATATTTTCCTAGAAGGGTACTCATTTCTTTGAATCCTTCAATGAAATGCGGAAGAGATGACTGATTCATGAAGTTAATGTTGTATGATAATAACTGAGTATTTTATAAAACTATTTATTAATTGACTATGTATTTACCAAGACTGTAACATAAAAAGCTAATCATTGTCGAAAGCTCCCCTCTGTAAACCTCCTTAAAGAGCCAGGTAGATGCAGAGGGGACACATAGGATAGAGCACTGAAAACAATCCATCTGCAGTGAACTTCTGGTTGTTATGTTTTTTATTTACATTTCATTATGATTTCTATCAATCAAGGGAGATGCTGCTCTTTTGTTTTTATACTTAAGTACGCTTATTTTATTATTGAATAAATAAAAATAACTTACACTAAGAGTTCTGTCAATGTTAGAAATATCATCGCACCCAAATTATTACCCAAGCTCAATGAAGAAAAAAACTCACCGAAGTTAACCGTTATTATTCTCTCTTTGTATAGAACAACTCTCTTGTATGTACATTATTCGCAATGTATAGCGTGTCAAAATATTTAACACTTGTTACCGCCAGATCGCGCTATTTATACGAGTTCGACAAATGTGCTATCGTCCTATTGGTGTAAGCTTGCGCATCTCTATCATAAGCGAATTATTTATATTTCTTTATAATGTTAATTGAAATCAGTAACTTAATCTGAATATCTGTAACAAAGGGACAAGGTCAATTAAATTCCGGGAGAGATTGTAATAATACTATGTGCATTACTTTCTCTATCATTTTTTTCATTATTCTCCCGCAACGCACTCAAATGCATCCCGGATGATGTTTTAGAGAGAAAAACCTTGTGACAATTTTTTATTGTGTTACGCAAATTATTCTCACCGCCGAGTGCATTGTTCTATTGCGGGAATGGCTTGCACTGTGTGTGAAGCGCCTATTGCGAGCATGACGTTATGAACACATCAAATTTTTAACATAAATTATAGGACAGAGTTAAGAAAATGATAAATAAGACATTATCGTGAAATATCTGTGAGGCTACAAATTGTATGTTAATTTGTTTTTGACCCTGAGAAATAAATAAATAAAGAACGAACAGGATAAGCCCCTTAGTTTTTTAAATAAGTCATAACCACGGTAAAATCAAAAAAATTCTAAGCGTTTCAATCATTTGTATGTATGACATGTAAAATAAACCAGGTATTTTTAAAAGAAAAAAAGGGATATTAAACATTTAGAAAAAAATAGATAATGTAGAAATTATCGTCGATATTAGAAACTACAATAATTCATCTCCCACGTTCATACATTTTTATGTTTAAAACCATATAACTAGTTAGTTATACCTTCAATACATTTGATGGAGCGTTTACGACCATCGCCCGAACGATGGAGGTGGTGCGTTCTTCATACAATTTAAATTTTATTTTAATGTTTATTCATGTAATAATTTTCGACATGTTAGTAGTATCTGTAACACAAACGTTTACCAGAATAATGAAAAAAAATAATGTATGTATGTATGTGGCACAATACTATGTAAAAATTAAAAATATAATAAACTAAAACCAAATATTGAAATATGGATTAACAATAATCAATAATAAAATAAATTGTATTATTAAAGCTTGAAATAAAAAATAAACGTAAGAAAAGAGGTTGATTCGATTTCTTTTTGTGTCAATATTGTATGTAAATGACAACACTGGGAAAATTACCACAAAAAAGGTCTCTAGAGCTGTAAATCTATGGTTTAAAAGTTACACATACGAACCATGAATGGTAAAATTCAAAAGATAGACAATGTGTCCCTAAATATTGGAATGTTGAACATATAATTTGAAATATCTTCAAAATATTTCATATTATTAGCTACATGATCAGGCAATGTACTGCAATACACAGGCCGGCGACATTGGCATGATTTAATAGTTGGAAGAGTCTTAGTCACAGAGCAATATCTTGATTCACATCTCCTGTGGAATACTTCCTATTTATATAGAGCAACCCTCACCTTACACAGTAAACACCCTTACGACAAAAGCCTCGCATAATGTGAGGGTGTTGCTATTTTTGGAAAGCAATTTGAGAACTAAGAGAAAATGTATGATAAGATAATGTAGACTGTTATAATTTTTAAATATTATTATTTATTTTCAGCACAGACGCTTATAACACGTAATCGTATGATCGATCTCCGTGATGAAATTAATAATGAAATAATAATAATGATATTCAACAAATTGTAAAGTTAAATTAAAGGAACTAAAGCCGCGTAAAAATACTGATACCAAGTAAAGAGTAACATAAAATTACAGCTACGAGATATCAGGGATTGTGCGATGTAAAAAGTTCAGGTTACCTTAAAATAACATTGTTAATAATTTTAATAACGGTCAAAGAATACTTGAACCAATGTGTACGTAAATAGTGGTGGTAGATGGATTGTGCCAAACGAGAATCCGTGATCTTGAGTACAATTTCTGATCACGGGTGTGTTCGTGCGTGCTTTCTAAGACAACGAATGAGGATAATACTAAATGAATAGAAAAGCTTGTAGATATTGCTTTATTTAATAAAATTATAGCCCATGAGAGGATCTATCAAGACGATAAAGTATAGCATTTCCAAAATCAATAGATATAAATCACAGGAAAGACCTCTTTACTAGAGAAATTCTTAGAATACTCAGTAAATCTACACTACCATAATTAGATAGATAATTAATATCACCATTCAATGTTCTACAAAATGTATTACATTTTTATAACAATTACTGTAAGCAACTTAAAAAACCTTTAAGAACATTAGTCTAAGTGACATTAACGCGGGTACCTAAATTTAGTACCCACCTAGCACAAACTACGTAGGCTAAAAGTTGTAGGCGTCTCTTCATAAAGCAGTTTCTACCACATTCATAAGTTACATGCTAACCCTAGTCATTACAAAGATATTCAGCTGTTTATCAATTCATTGCAATCCTACCAAAACTAGAATACAACCTAATACCGAATAGCACTTTAGTTACAAGATATTTGACTACATTCTCGTAGATGACGTAACACTAAGTACAGACAGATGTATCCGTAAACAGAATGTTATGTAATTATAATCCGCGAATCGGCGCTCACGCATCACTATGTCATAACATTCCATTTCGGCGAGTGAAGATGACAGCTTCTGCAGAATCTACTTCATAATATCTCATTTATTTATAGTTTATTTCTTTTTTAATATAAATCATAAGAAAGATGTAACATTTAAGTAACTGGTTAAACATATTCGTATATAACATTTGGTATAAGATAAAATTGCAAGGTTCAAAAAAAGATGCTCTAAAATACATAGAAAAATCGAGTTTTAATTTGAAATACAGTTTCTATTGATTTTTATTGTTTAAATATTATTAATGAAAATATTACAAATTTTTCAATGAAAGAAACATTTTTGTTATCGTTAAATTTTTTGAATTTCCATATGGGAAATGAGAATAAACAAATGTTAAGGTAAAAGTAACAAAACCGTCGTATTGTTAACATAATCTTTATGGTGTATAATAGAAATATAGGTATTTACTGAGTAAAATATGCATCTACAATATACATATCTAACTAGTAGCTAAAAGTTTAGAAACTACTTAACATTATGATATTTCATTTTACGAAAAATACGATATTCACGTCTTTATTACGTTTTATTACATAATTATTGCTGAAAGCGTAATGCTCCATCTCATCACATAATAAGTTATTCAGGTCCTGAACTCTTCGCTGACATTCATCACGACCTCTTTATTGAAATTAAAATAAACTAAGGTAAATACTACCCACATCTAAGCAGACATATAACATTAAAATCTCTGTATGTAATATCGAAATTAAACGATCTGTTTTAGGGCACATGATGTTTTTACAATACATGATGTGTCAATAATACAAAGGAATTTTCAAAATGTTTGTTGTCTGACCAACGTATTTCTGAATAACGATGTTTAACATCAAAGAAATAGATTAAATGCTGCAATCAATGAGCAATTGTTAAGTCAAATAAAATTAAAACTTTTAAGGAACTGATAAACATGCATACTGATTTGTTTAATTTGATATATGTAAGTTTTAGGTAGTGAGTAATGGTCTGTCGACGTCAGCGCCGGCGGGCGCGGCGGGCGCGGCGGTGCCGGCGGCCTGCGCGCGCTGCGAGCTCGCCGCGTCTCCGTTGGACAGCAACGCGACTGTCGCATCAGCCTCGCACAGATCCTCCATCTGCATTCAATAAATAGTTAACGTTCAAGATTATCGCTGTAGTTAATTTATAAATCAATGAAATTATAGTGAATTTCCACAACTTACTTTTTAAGTAGTGAAGATTCACTTACTACGTATTTAAGTATCGGAACAGGGGCACCATGTTACGAATATTTAAGATAATAGACATATTTTACATCATGTGGGTCGCGAGAATTAGAAGTGCCCTATTTAACAATACTATAAACAAGTATTACAAACCACAAATATTCGTCTACATGAATCTAAATAAAATTAAAAGGCAAATTGCCATCTCAAAGAAAATGTTTACTTTGCATTTCGATAGTATCATTAAGTTTACTCTAAATACACACATTATGATTCATTAAAGTTTAAAGTAAATTCGTGAATATCATTACCTTGAAATTCGATTAGTTTAAATTAAAATACGAATAAACGTATGTGTCGGGTGACCTTCACAAAACAGCATCTTTAGAGCTACATATCAAACAGGACTCTATAAATGATATAAAACTAAAGTGAAAGGTATTTGAAAACAACACGTCATATATTGTTCTAGCAAGTAGTCATAGGAAAATCTATTACTAATTCTATAACAAATACAATATAATGGGTTGGATCATGATAAATCTAATTACATATTACACATGTGATTATTTCATATTTAAATCAAATTCGTGATTTTAACACAAAATCAAGAGTTCCATCTTTTGTACTGTTTTAACACAAAAAATCTTCATAATTGTCATTGATGATCCACGTAGATTTGGTTGTAGTTAAGTGGCCACACAACGCGCAGCCTAGCCAGTCAGGCCGACAAATGGAAAATCGGCCTGTCCGGGTAGACTGTACGCCGCGTACCAGTCCATTTGCCTCCATCAAAACATTTACACGCCATGACTAACATCTTCAACTGTAATCTTCTTACATAAGAAATGACATTTTCATAGGCAGTTATCTAACCAATTTCATAAAATAAGGACACGAGGTGGGAATTGGAAAGTACGAACATATTGTCAATACTTCATCATACTTTATCGCATTCCGTAAAGATTAAAATATTTTGATAAAGCTGCAGTCACGGCGTCGTCGGCCGCGTAGATATATTATGTACGTGAGCCCATTATTATTCGTTATAACTTGAGAATATACGTCAAAGTCAAAGGATCTTTGCTCTTTCTTAGTAGCAAAAGCTATAGGAATACATCAATAAAATAAAATAATGTATATTATTTTACGTACCATGGATTTTTCTGGTTCCCCGGTCACGGAGTCTCGTTTTCCTTGCAAGTAATAAGTCATCAACTGCCCCTTGCCTTTGACAGCCACGAGGCCGCGCTGCTCAAAGTAATACCCAAAACACTGAAGAATTTGACAAGTTTCTTCTGTCACCTGTAGTAAAGAAAATGTTATATTAATACATGTAAGGTAAATTAAAACAACATAATAAAGCACACGAAGTGTTAAGGAATACATTTTATAGCTGATATATGAGAAAGATTCACAAAGTAATTTACAAAATTTTCATTACCTACTACTACAGTAAAGAAAATAAATAAATTCTAATAATTATTTGAAAGGAGAGAAAGATTATTCTTTAATGCATCGAGGGACAAAAGTACGTCATCGAATTAGATTTTTTATAATTTGTGCTACAAATGTAAATTACAGCTTCTGAGTACCTGTATACATCCTGCTTTGCCAGTGCTCTCCATTCGAGATGCGACGTTGACGGTATTGCCCCATATGTCATAGTGCGGCTTGCGGGCGCCGATCACACCCGCAGTGATCGGACCATGGTTAACTCCGAGACGTAACACGAAGTGATTGAATGATTGCTCATTGATGGCTGTCAAAACCCTCTGTAGTTCCAGTGCGAATTCGACAAGACACGCGAGATGAGCCCAGCGGACAAGCACACCATCTGATGGCTAAAATTTAAAACGAAACGCCTTGATTATATATTACTTAAATAATTCTTACTTTACTTTTACTTTTTGAATTGAATAACGAACAATGAAAAAAACGATTCAAGTTTACACTAAAATTGAAAATTCTAATACACATCTTGCTTGCTAGATGTCATACTTTAAGTTCCTACCCTATAACAAAAGCCCAACACATTGTTAGTTTGTTACAGAAAAATATTACATCATATTTATCATACTAATATTATAAATGCGAAAGTGTAGATGGATGTTTGTTAGATTTTTGTAGCCTAAACGGTTGAACGGAATTCGATTAAATTTGGCATAGGTATAGAGGATAGTCTGGAAGAACACATAGGTTACTTGCATATGTTTTTTTTAATTTGTGGATGGAGTCGCTAAAGCTACTTTTGCTATAAATATATTTTAACCCTGTAGGCGTCATAACAAAAAAATAAATTCGTCTGTATTATGTTGTACTTAGAGAAGTATATGATAATGGATCCCAGATCAAATCTCATTAAAGTAGTTTGCTCTTTTACCAGGGCTGCCAAGAATAAAATATATAAATACGTATTAGATATGCCCGGTTTCACATACCAGTTTCTAAAATGTTATTAGGTGTCCCTTTGGTTCAGGGTCTCAATAAGTCTAAAGCAAGTTATGAATTTAGGTGACATCTAAAAGTTGATAAAATAGAAAAAAAATCGGCCCTTTAAATGCTACATAAGAGCATCTCTAAATTTAAGGGATGGTTTTCGAAAAACGGCTATTGCAAAATTTTATATGCGCTTTTATATACAATCGTAGGTAAGTAAAAAAGTGGTAAAACAAAACATTTAAATGCAATACTGTGCGAATACTACCGAATGAGAATTTGTAGTCACAAAAATGTTTTTACCTGCAATTGACGAAGGTAAGCATGACGCGAATGTCCTTAGTGTTTTTAAATGGCCTTGAGTTATTTAAAGAAGCACATTAGGCCATTCAATTCGACGATAAACAGGTTGGTAAAACAGATAAAGTGATAAATATACTGGTGCAGTACTTGGACATTACCGGTTTTAAGTTTTACCATGGTTTAGATTTTTGAATGACAAGATAAAATGTAGTATTTTCATGTCATATTCTTTATCAACCTGTCTATTTCTAAATGGAGGGATTTTTTTACGTTATATGCAGTTGTATTAATAATGTATGAGTTTTACAAGAAAAAGCTTTTCCACTTTAGGTAATTGAGAGAACCCGCAACTTTACATTTGGAACAACTTTACAAACCCTAATTCAATATGTGTAGGCGGTTCACAAACTATACTTTCCATTCACAAGTGGAAAAAGACCATTAACGAAGTTCAAACAAGACGGATGATTGGCACTGACGTTCTTAAGCGCTAAGTAAAGTTTATTCTAGCTGCCTCGTCTGTTTGAATACATCAAACATATACTTACCTTTTTCTTGTTGGTTGTTGGTTATTGAAAATAAAATGTTAACTTTTACCCAACTTTAAAAAGAGAACGCCCTAATAAATAAGTTGCAGGCGTAACTTAATGAATTAAGTTTAAACTATAGTATTGCAACATTTAAAAACCAATTTTGGAAAAAATAGCTTTATATAATAGTAATTGTAACTTGCAATTTTTAGACCACCTTGCAGTTACCTATTATTGCTATTATAAGAAAAAGAATCACCTGCATCTGTCGTGTGGGATTTAGGCCTGATGCAGCCATGTATGTGGAACTTATTGTTTTGATTTTTATTATGTCCTTACTGAACTTAGAATCTTCCAGTAACTGAAATGATAAAAATATAGTCGTAATAAAAATAACAATAAAACGAATATATCCACAGGCCAAGGTTTAAAAAGATGATATGCAATTTAATCCTTACCAGGTCAAAGTCAGAGATTACTTCGTTCAAAAACCGCAGACATTCCAGCCCTTGATTGTTCACAGTTTCTTCAGAATAGAACTCTAAAATAGAGTAATACGACTATTTTATATTCATTGACATTGTACAAATAACAATTAGAATAAAAACAAAGATGTGGTAATATTAAAAATCAACTATTACAATTAAAATTAGATGGGTGGGAGTTTTGGATTAATAGTATTGCACGAAAATAAATCTCTCGTCATCAGTCTTCTTAACTGTCTATGGAAGGGTATTCTTCTACCCTGCGTTGTTCTCAGCTATAGAGATGTCATACAAAGAAGAACCTAGAGCGGTGCATATTTGCAAAGTATGAAGTTTTAAATACAGGTAGCGACATCTATCGGAACGCTTTGAAATTATTATATGCTCAATGCATAACACAAAAACCAGTGATCCGTACAACCTACTTATGTACATTATATTTTATGGTACTTACATCTTACACTGTTGGATTACAAGAGCTATATTTACACTAAGAGGTCATCAGTTCGAGTCTCGACTTAATAATAAAGGCACTAAAATAATACACAGGAACATGGAGAATTAAAATATTGCTTTTTAAATATTTCTAGTAGATCTATTTACTATACTAGCTGTAGTCTGCGACTCGTTCCGAATGTATTAAAAAAAAAAACAAAAGGAAGTAGCCTATGTTTTTCCAGAAGTGGAGGATACATCTGTGTCATATTTCTTTGAGATCCGTTTATCTGTTTAGGCTACAAACTCTAACAAAACCTGCGTATTTACAATATTGGTAATAACGGAGACATACTTAACAATTACACAAATTTCTTCCGTTACTTCGTAACTCTCTCTATTTCTTCTTTGTTAAACAAAATTAGCATGTAGAAAAACCAACATATAACAATTAAAAAAGTATATAGAGAGAAAATAATTCAATAGATCCTTTATGATTAAATATTTTTTTCCATTTATCCTTTATTGGTACGATTTTCTTCATACATACGTTTCTTAATACATTCAGAGATGTCTAGTTACGTATGTTTCTAGGTAGACAGATAATGTTCGTATAAGGTAAAATCGTCTTTATACATCGTAACCTTGTTAAAAGAAGGATTTAAGTCTCGTGTCACCTTAGTATTACGTTAATTAAACCCTTTTCCAATTACGTTGCAATACGTTTTATATATAAAACATTATTCATACAACTTGTTTTCTGAACAAAGATGCGTTGATTAGCATAGCATTTAGAAGCGCTGCACTAACAATGCGTTAACGTTGGTCATACTTCAACTTTATTGACGTACAAATAAAAATACAGTTATCTTTAGAAAGTAAATGAGTTTTATTAATAGAATCTTATTAGTTTAGTGATGTGACGATAATGTGTGCACCTATGTTAGGACTATGAATACTGCAACGTCATTATGATGCCTAATTATATTACCTTGCCGACCCTACAGTCGGTACACACTTATTCAAAGGATGATGATTTTCTAAATTAACAGAAAAGACCGCTGTCAATAATGAGTAATCGTGTATAAAGTTTTTTTGCTGAGATTTATCAATAAATTATTTGTAATCTAAATGCGTTTGAACGTAACGCAAATAAGTGTGATTCATCCCTAGGTAAAACTTCTTTGTCCTCAGAGACCATATTAATATTTGCATGAAGATAAAAAATGTTGCCAAGAACGATAAAATATATTTTTATCTAAAAATAAGAATTTTTATTACAATCAATGATAATATGCGAACATTGTTAATTTTTAATTAAACCTTTTTTCGTATAAGATCAATATTTTAAAATTTTCGTAATACATGTATTATCTTTGGGTAGAGATCTTTTGTGTCTCCAACAGTGATCTTAAATTGAGGACAGAAAGGACACAAATTTCTGTGTAAAATAGAGTGGCGCTAATTATATTTATAAGATTAAAGTACGATTTCAAGACAACACACAAAAAAATCAAAATTGTATTTGCACATTACATAATGCAATTCATACTTCATACTAATATAAAAATGCGAAAGTTTAGATGGATGGATGTTTGTTGGAGTTTGTAGCTTATACGGCTGAACGGATCTAGATGAAATTTCCCGTAGTTGTAGAGGATAGTATGGAAAAACACATAGGTTACTTGATTTTGTGTTTTGTAATTTCACATGGACGAAGTCGCAGACGAAAGCTAGTAGCACATGAATAAAGGTAATACAGTGGGTTGGTAGTAGGGGTCGGATGTACCTGAGAAGTTGGGCATGGAGGCGAAGAGCACGCCGACTTCGGCGTAGCTCTGGCTGTAGAGGTCGCGGTGGTGGTGGCGCGCGCCCATGAAGTGGCTGGCGACGTGCGGCGGCAGCACGTTGTGCACCAGCGCCTGGTTGCGGCGCCGCAGCTCGCTCGCCTGCTCCGCCTGCGCGCGCATGCGCTCCCCGCGCGAGTGCCGCGCGCGCTCCAGCGACTCACTCTACCGGAACATAAGGCAATTTATAACAAATTGCATATTCAATGTATTTTCCATAAAAACCTAATGTACATCGTCAACAAAATCATCTCATCAAAATTTGAAACATCAATGAGTATTTTACATATAACTATGAAGTCTCTAAAACCATTTTTGAATTAAATATTGTTCTAAAGTATCTAAACACTTTATAATTTTATAATTTATTATTAATATAATATATAAATGAAATATTGCCAACGGAATAAACATTAAATCAAAATGATCTGTCATCTAAAAGTCTCGGAGATTAATTATATAATGTGCTAATACGAGTATATGTTAAATTAACAAAATACAACTCACGTAACGATTATATACCAGAAGTGCTATCACTAAGATGAATAACATGACGATGTGTCTGACACTGTGCAGGTGCGTCCTGCAACAACAAACATCACATTTTAAAAATCATGGTTCAAACAATAGATGCACAGATACATCAATGTAACCTGACATAGCATACAATACGTTAAAGCCAAGACCATTGAAAATATTACATGCGGCACAGCTTCGGCGAAACAAACATTTTTTTTATAATATAAGGTGGCAAGTTTCCTCTTCAGAAATGGGTGGAAAGGGAAAGGGACTAAAGTTAGGCCTCCGGCACCACACTCATCAGATGAAATGCGGAATTGCTTTCACTTCACGCCTGTTTTCTGTGTGGTCGTGGTAGTGCACCGGGCGCGTTTCGTGCAAAGATGTTAAAGCGGGCTCTACCACTGTCAAACATTTAGAGATGACCTTTATGTTTTTTGTGAATATATATTCTGAGTATATTTTAAGAAATGTTTTGGCATTATGTAGCGTAGATTTGAGTATATATAATTTGAAATGAATATTTTAATCTCAGTAGGTGGTATTATGTGATTATAAAAAATTAATACAAGTTTAAAATTTTGCAACATTCCATGTGTTAAAGAAACAAGTTTCAATAAACCTTTGCTATTTTCAAGCAATGATGCTGTGAGGATAGAAATGCAAATTGCAAAATCGCCTGTCATAACCTCAAACCTGCGAGACTGCAGATTACATAAACGTCGCCGCGAATACATTGCTCAATATACTAGCTCTGAACCTATTGTACGTTACAAATTAATTATTCCCATAAAGCAATACTAACACAACATAATTATGTTAATTAAATCATGTGGATTTTCGTAAATTCAAGTGGATAAATACATTATTTGATTATCTGTCTTTATTCGCCTTTTATTTACACTAACAATTTTCGATATCGGTTGATAACGCGAGAACCCTCTTATTAACTTATTACGTATAGATATTTGAATAACAGTAGCATTCAACAACGTTAATAAACTATTTTTCTTTTTGTTGTTAAATGCTAAGACATTTAAAAACAATGTATGCAAACATAATAAATTCAGCAAGGATACTCGTACTCGTATAACATTTTTATAACTCGTATAACAAATACAAAAGCAATTGAAAGAGTTGATTACGGTACGCTATTAAAAGCAGTTATAAAATATGTGTCAAACAACCGTAACAATAAGTTGTATCAACAATCATAGTTCGGCAATTTCAATTACTATTGTCACTATGCGACTTTTTACTTTTACTTTACACACGAATATCTTTATACAATAGATGAGGAAAGAAATAATTGAATTTATTATGCCACGACATGAGTCTCTGTTGCTTTAAATAGGCGTGAATTTTGTCGCAATTATTGTTGATGTGTACTTTCCTTACCGTAGCCCATACATTGCATTTCTACAACAAATCAAGCCACACAGCAAATTAACTCATAAGTTATCTATTAATATGAGTCATAACCCTAAGCTTCAACGCATAAACAAAAGACGAATAGATCTCATTTTAATGCGTCATACCTAAGCGACTTCAAAGTAAAATAGGTGACACAGTCGTACTTTTATCACGGGCAATAATACCATATTTATGAAATATCTTCATTGCCTTAAGAGGAGGAGGAGGGTATACTAATCATTATTAAAGACATAAATCAATGATGTACTTACAGCACATAGAGGAGTTGATCGGGGTGTGTGGTGTTGGCGTGCAGGGAGTGGTAAGGGTCGCGGGCGCGGAGGCGCGGGGCGAGCAGGTCGGGCGCGTAGAGCGCGGGCAGCGCGTGCAGCAGCGCCAGCGCCACCAGGTACGCGGAGCGCAGCGCGCCGCCCGCCACCGCCGGCCACAGCACGCAGCACGCCGCGCCCGCGCCCAGCTACGTAAAAAATTAAGTATTTTCAAACCCACAAAGATAAAAGGGATATACTTTCGTCTCGTCTTGAGACTGATATGTCAACATATTCAATTTAAACTTCATTCTATATAAATTAATCAGACTAATATCATAAATGGGAAAGTTTAGATGGACGAACGGGTGGATGTTTGTTGGTATTTGTAGCCTAAACAGCTAAACTAATCTCGATGAAATCTGGCATAGATATAGATGATAGTCTGGAGGAACACATAGGCTACTTCATTTTTTTATTCCATGCAGACGTTGTTGCGGGCAAAAGCTAGTATTCTTATATTAATAAAAACGATTATGGAATTCATTTAATACTGCACGGAGTGTTTTAAAGTGCATACATATCTGTTGAGTGTAAGTGTCTACTTAATTATAATGATACAAGTGAAAAGTGTTAAGTTACATGGTAATAGTAAGTGGGATGCATGCAGCGGCGCGCCCCGCCGCGCGCCGGCGCCTCCTCCCGCAGCCCGTCCGCGGACAGCGCGCTGTCGAAATCTCCGCAGATCACCTTTGAAACATGTCGACATACCATTAACAGACCGGACACACTTCACACAAACAATAAATCCAATAAATAATATATTTATACAAATATTTTGAAATGATGAAAATTAGTGTTAGCTACATTTTTTGTAAAGCTTATGTGTTAAATGTAACCGTGTAAAGCTCTCTACAACAAATTACAATATGTAAACTGCAACATTGTGTGAATAAATGAGATAAGGAAATTCATAAAGTTGCGATCACCGATGCCCAAAACATTCATGGTATCGAAACTGCTGCGAACGAAAAACTGTTACTTTTGATCTACAAATAATAAAGTAAAAACCCAAATCAAATTATTCGAAAATACACCGGTGACGCGCGTATATTTCACAAGGTTGTTAAAAGCCAATAGTTCCACGAAAAACCGAATGGATGCTTTTGTAAAATGCAGTTTCGGGTTCTTGCGACTGCATGTTCGAAAACTGGTGCCTATCATAGGATAGATTTTGTAGTAGACTGTATGTATGAACTTTATTAGGCAAATAGAGGAATTAAAAACGGGATATAAAAAAAAATCTGCCTCAATGCATTTGAATTTACATTGTAATTAATAATGAATATAAGTGTTAAGCATTAAATTTTTAAAATTAAAAACATTAAAAATTAAAGCAAAACAAGCGGGCAAAGAAGGGCACAACTAGTGGAGGTTATAGCACAGCACAGGAGAGTTTGTTTGCTTACATACCATGGTGGCAACATTTGCGGATATCAACATCGTGACGTTGAACATGCAGCATGTTAACTTCCACATCGGGCTCATTGTTCTTTTCTAGAACAAAGTCAAAATAAAACATGATTTACTCTCTTCAATATAGTGCAGTTCATTAACAATTCGACTTATATCTTACTGCGATAAGCAGGTGCGTTGTTGAGAGTTCAATTGGAAAGTTTGGTCATAAAAAGAAAACCCACCTTTCACCTTGATTTTAGAAACTTTTCTATTTGAATATATCTATCACGTTACTCTCTTAACGACGTTTACTCTTTACGTGTCACATTCGTATCAGAGTAAAATATTCAAGTTAGCTTAATTATTTATGATGCACTAGCTTTCGCCCGCGACTCCGATCGCGTTAAATAAAAAAAACAAATGTGAATAGCCTATGTGTTCTTCCAGATTATCTTCAACATCTGTACCAAATTTACGAAATCCGTTTACAGCCGTTTAGGTCACAAACTCTAACTAACATCTATCTATCCATCCATCAAAACTTTCGCATTTATAATGTTAACTAGTATGATTAGTATGAAGTATGATAATTACCTACTTCATCTCAAAAGTATAAAAAATCGCCATGTTCTTTTGCAATTAACTTAGTTTTGTAGTTACTACGAGGAAGACGGTATTGTATTTTTAAATGAAATACGTTTTCTATAACAATATTTAGTTAACCTTAAATTGTGTGTATTTGTAGCAGGCGTAGTAGAGGACATTGACGAGGCCGATCTCGAGCTCGAGGGCGAGGTAGATGGCGTGCAGCGACCAGGCGGGCGGCGCGGCGACGCTGCACACGGCGGCCACGGCCGGCAGCAGCGCCAGCGGGGGCGCCACCGCCGCCAGCGGGCACTCGTCCTTGCGGTGCGCGAACGCTGACTCCGTCTCGACGGACTTGAACGTGAGGCAAACGGTGGTCGCGTCCGCTAGCTCTCTACAATAACGCATCATCACAAATCAAGCTAATACAATGTGAAATATGTTCCATAGATGTTTGCAGACTGAACAACAACAGAGAAACATAATTAATTAATAAGAAATTAGGAATCGGTTACAGTCTCGTTATAGACATGATCTCACTAAACGATCAGATGATACAGCAATAAAGATAAATGACCTTAACTGATACAAGATCAAGGCGCATGAAAAAAGCAAAGAGATATAATTTCAGCAATTATAAATATACAGCCTAAAATGAAAGTCTTTTATTATAGAAATGGACTTACTTATCATCATCTCTATTAACGAGTTCTTCTTCTAGCATGGCGAGTATTTTTGATTCCTCGTTGTCTTTGCTCTCGTCTTGCGGCGATAGAACCTACGGATAATGTACGAAGCGTTTCCATGTAATTGAGCAGCAACAAATTTCTATTAATGCTTTCGGTGTAGCAGACTTAAAAATTACTAGATGGACACTGGAATGAATGGCATCACTTTTCAAGCGGATGATATTTATACACTAACTAACAAGGCTATATTGAATTCAAAATTGTTACCGTACCGACAGTTTTATATTGAGACTTAAATCAATAGTACGCAGGTGAACCGAGATAGTTATATCGGGTACTTACAGAGTCGTCGTCGTCATCCCGGAGGTCTGACAGCGTGTCGGCGCTGTCGCTCGCCTCCACTCCCTCGCCGTCTACTACAGTTCTGTCTTCCGAAACAACAACGCCACTGCCAACGCCACTGCCACCGCCACCACCGCCGCCGCCACCGCTCTGAAACTGTATTTGGAATGAAAACTAGTAAGTTATAATGTAAATAATATTATTTCAAATTATTAGAACCCACGATAAAAGGAGCCAAAAAACAAAGGGGTGAAGTCAGTTATGATTGTTGGTTTTAAAATAAACGAATTATTACTTTTTTTTTTCAATTATATTCACTTACTGGCTTAAGGACTCGCACAATGAAATACGTTTTAATGCCGGCCTGACGTAACATTTCCTCGCGCCGCTCCCCATACGCAGGCTCCACTTCAAACTCATCATTGAGAAAGCTCAACGTCATCTCAGATACGTGCACGCGTCTGTAATGGATCAATTATCAACATATTACTGTAACTAGCACTCTGAAATATTAAATAGATGAACCAACTAGTGAAGTACTGTTAAAAATCATTTAAAACTCCAATTAGCTCGCAAAATCTGCTGACAAGGTCATTCTATTCAGCTGTAAGTAAAAGGTCAACTTTAGAGTGATTCTTTTAATTATCAAACTTAATGATGTTATACATATATACAGCACTCAGATTACTGAAGTGAACAAAGATACCCTAGATGACTTCTTATCTCGTATATGTACAATGATACCTGCGAGTAAGTGCCTTAGTTGTGTTAGAGCTTCAGAAAATTTCTTAATTCACTCAGTGAAAAAAATCGAACTCTTTCTTTAAAACTCGTAGAGTTTTTAGATCAATATGTCCGAAATAAAATTGTCAATAAATAAATAACAAAAAATTTCATAAACAGTTTTATGTAGGTAATGTTCATTGAGATGAAGGCTTTTCTTTGTCCAATATTCAAGTATCCGATTTGTTATTCATGATAACGCAAGCTGCGATTGGATGCGCAAGGCGGGATCGATAGTTAGAGTGGAGGGACTTAGCGGGAGCCAGGCTACGGCCGCCGCCGGCTTCAGGAAACTTATCGAACATATACTGCCTACAAATAAATGAAATCCCTTAACATACGCATAATCAGTATTCCGAAATGCGAATTATTAAATTAATAAATAAAACTTTGTAAAAACCTATTTCCACATCTTTTGTAACGTTTTCGTAAACAAAGAAGATAAGCTTGAAACGATTTGAAATAAAAAACGACAGCTTTATATCTCTTACAAATAAACGTTAGGCGTAAAGTTGCATTTCTCTGCTACACCACTTAGCATAATTAACATGTTTGAGACAAATTATTTCTATACACATTAGTTTTCAGCTCTTATTTATACGAATGAGAAATTTGTTTAAGTAACAAAAAATCGAAAACTACAAAACAGTTATAATAAATACTTTAGTAATTGTTATTTGTGGGTATACAAATAGCAACAACTGTTGCTATCCCCATGTCAGTTTTTACGTTTGTTTACGTAATAAATAAAATAAATGAAATTGTAGACTAAAAATAATACAAGCTTAATTACACTGCGTTGCTTCACGTACTCATAAATTTTCCCAAGTTCTCATAAACATGCCAATACGCAAAGCCCGTAGAGAATAATTTGTTAGGGCTGGAATACGGTCAAGGCCTAAAATAAGGTCATCATTTCAAGCTTTAATAATAAAATTAAAGCAATTTTGCATCACAAATATCTGACGCAATATAACCTCATACAGATGCTTTTTCCGAAAAAAACATAATAATAGTGCTCTATTAATGTATTTTAAAACGTGAATATTCCTTATCAGTCGTGTATAAAATTAAATTAAATATTTGCTTTTACAAGAAAATATAAAAGATCAGCGCTACCTAAAAGAATATAGGTTTTGAGGCCAAGTTTAAAATTGTCTTTTGCACGTCGCCCTCTTCAACGCGAGACATCGATCCGCCAAGTACTAACTAGATAGGCTTTGCAAGCGCTTTGTGGCAAACAGTGTGTTGTAGATTTCACAAATAATGTATCAAAATTACATCACAAAAACATTTCCATTAGTGAAACTTATTAATAACATTGAATACTAGAAGCAAATACAACATGAAACTAAAATACATGATATTTAAATTTTCTATAAACACGTGTAATCTATATTTAGAGTTATGATAATAATAAATTAGCTTTCCCTTCCACAAGTCTATTATCGATCTGGATTTTATCTGTCTATGTAGGGGGTAAAAATAAATTAAGAATTTGTTGAACTCACGTAACATTAGCTATTCTAAAAGATGAACAGAAATCTATGTCTTTAAGTTCTATAAATATTTTATAATCCAAATTATTTGACACTTGATCCAAAAATTATAGAAAAAATTCTTTTAAAATTACTAGTAACTTAAGTAATTAACTATCCTTCCCTGGCGTTAAGATACAAGTTATTTTGAATTGGACATTATTTTGACAAATTTCATCGGGTTCCGACTGTCTGAAATAATTACAACAACTGTGTTTTAGGAATTGTTCTAAATTAAGGAATTAATTACCCGGCCATTCCACTGCTCTCCATCTTATTGGCAAGTTCGACATCGCGCGAGTAGACGTCGAACTGCCACTGCCTCTGACCCAGGACCCCGGCTAGCACCGCTCCGGTGTGAATACCCACTCGCATGTCCACCGGCGAGTTCGTTATTTGTTGTACATATCTGAATAACGTTACATAAGTTAAAATTCACTTCTTCTAAAATCCTTAAGGATTAAAAGAAGCCATGGCTAGGAATACTATCAAGTACTTTAAATTAAAATAGATTTAGTCATTTTGTTCTTAATTGTACCTTTTTGTACGATTTTTCCATTACATATTACATTATATATGTACTTACAAACTATCGCGAAAATGCTAACATTTTAAAGAAAATCAAAGTCTTTATATCATACGTTAGGATGTCGAATAATTAAAACTATTATTATAGTGTTTTGACAAAGATATAAAAAAAACTCACTTTATCGCTTTGACCATAGACAATCCCATGTGAACACAAAGCACCGCATGATCAGGCCGCTCCAGCGGTGCGCCGCTAATGCAATAGTAGCAATCTCCAAGGATTTTAATTCGCAGTTGATTGTATTTCTTTAAATGAAATAAATATATAAATCAACATTTGCAAAAATGGTTATAAAAGGTAATAATTAATTTGTTAATTGAGACTTTACCACATACCTCAGCGAGTCGATCAAATCGCGCAAATAGCTCATTTAAAATTGCTACAAGATCTTGAGCTGAATATGTAGAGGAAATTGCGGTGAAGCCCACTATGTCAGCGTAAAGTATGCTGCCATCAAAAAGAAACATATCACAATATATAAGTCAAGGCCACGACAGTTACTAATAATGATAAAAATTACTAACCTAACATTTTCGTGCCGTGACATGTAAATCTTTTTAAATTGCGTGTCGATAAGTCCTAATTCCTGTCTCATTTGAACGGCGACGTGTTCGGGAAGAACTGACAGCAACAGTCTTTCCTAAAGCAGTGATTATAATAAAAGTTACATTTATGTTAATCTTACATATTTTTGCATATAATAATTATATTCGAACCTGTTCTTTACTTTGTTGTTCGATCGTGAGTTTATCGCGTAAGCTTCGTTTTGTTTCCTGGAAAGAACTTCTTTGTTGGCGTTCGCCAACAATATATGCGACTCCACCCAAAATCGTAACACCCACCAGTAAGGCACCATTTGCTAATTCCTGGGTAAATTACACCGCGTTAGATTAATAAACACTTGATTGTAATTTCAAGTATTTAATAATCGATTGTCTTACGTACCTGATTAAAAAAGTCTTCAGGTAGCCTCTTTTCCATCGTCATCGCCAGGTAATACTGAACTAGGAGATATCCCGATAATGAGAGCAAACTATATAGTAAAAGTATCACATAATGAAAAGGTAACGTGGCAATAGTGAAAAATTGCAAGACGGCAGCCCATCCGAGTAACTCGTTGTAGGAATCTCCAGTGCGCCTGGACACACTCATCAGGAGTTGTGCCCATATGACAAGCCATGCAATGTGATTTAACACGTAACGTGCTCGTCGAGCGATCGCATAGATTACAATAAGAACTACATTGATTGTTAACCCGATGAGTACGGAATTATAAGCGAAGTATAAGTTGCTCTCGCCGGGGATGATCGCAGCAAAAATTTGGAATAACAATCCGGTACCAAGCAGCCGTAGTACCGCCCGTTGCCTTTGCCACTCCGTGTAGGCCTGATACAGTTTCTCCTCTGATAAGTCTGTGAACCTCCATGGTGGCACCAAACACACCCAGCATGTGTTTTTATTCAAAGATTGCGCCTGCATTGTCTTCTCCATGTCTATTAAAACCTGTCCATTTTCACTTTTAGTAGCTTTATTTTATGTCAACAATTTTTCAATGCTTCTCTATATACTCTTCGAGGAAACGCTGGAAAGAAAATTATTTTATTTTTACGAATACTTTTGTATGTACTTTAGTATACTTATTTTTTTATTTTTCTGCACTTGTCATTTTATTATACTTTATCAAAGAAGCTTCACACACTGAGTTTACACTTATGATGTTGGTTAACATTGATTGAACGTAAATAGATTTATTTTCGAAAACATTTATCTGAAAAGTTTAAAAAATGTTGATCTACTATCGCGTTATAACGTAACTAATGTAATATTACAATGCTAAACGACATTGCGTTTGTCGACCGAACTTTACTAGTGCTCATGTGTTTAGTAGTAATGAAAAGAATATGAAGCGGTGACTTTCCGCTAGCGACCGGCTGATCGAGGACGTCTGTGTAATGAATAAATTACACGCTGAAACATTGTTCCGATGTCAGTTCATTAACGAAGTCGTCTAAAGGCATGGAGAACGCATGTTTTCGTACACAGATGGTCTCAAACTGACCACTAGTGACATCGACATCGCTAATTCCCGCGCTGACGATCGTTACACCTGATGGATGACGCGACAGTAACGTGACCGTGAATTCGCTTCGTAAACTACATGTTTTTCTTTTCACATCGTTAACTCATGGACATCGTTAGGAAAATGTAAAATAGTCTTCTGTTACAATTAGAGTGTGACTTTAAATAAAATGTTAAACATGTTTTTAAGTTAAAAATGTAAATTAGACAAAGATATATGTAAGTTATGGAATTAAATATGTTTTCTAAGTAATACATTTTAGTTTAATTTATCAACAAGGTGGAATTTAACTCTTGGGTCTCTGGTTTGAGTGCTCCAACCTACTAAAGGTTTTCGACCTACCTCAGACTAAATAATAATCTAAGAAAAAACTGAGTAGGGATAGTAAAGCCAATTTCAAAATAATAATTTTAATAGTTACGTGTAAAATAAATAATACAGATAATGGTGTCATTAAAATTAAAATGTAGATTTAGTCACTTCAAGTATTTCGAAACAACAAGGCCAGATGGCTCTATTCTCAGGATCGCTATGAATGTGTCCTAAAAACTGTAGTTTAACGTTTGTTAATACAAATCTAATTAAACCCCATAGGATAGAGTAATATAGATTTAATTTAAATTGGGCTTATTTGCTACGAACAATGCTTTAGTTTTTAAATGGATTTCAGGTGAAAACTAACACTTTTGTTATTTAAACTGTAAAAACAATTAGTTATAACATTAGACTCGTTAAACAACCATGAAAATAATCACATAAATAATTAATATAAAATATTTATCGTATACTATACTATCATAAAATTGTCCAAGGTCCTGTAAGTTATTATCAAGGCCAAATCTTAGATATCTCCTTCATTCAACAAATAAATGTACCTAATAATTTATAAATTGTAATACAATTGTCCGAATGGCAGGTAAAAAATCAAAAAATATTACAAATTTACAGTATCTACTAAGTATATTTTTAAAATGGGAAACTTTGAATAACAAGTTCGTTTTCTTTTCAACAAAAAGTAGTGTTACAGTTTTTTTATCGAACAATTAAATGTCAACATTAACTATAAAACCATACAAGCTTTTTATGTTTTAATATGTCACGCCAAATCATTTTAAAAAATAATAATTTTGTAATCAATTTGATGTTCATGTTTATACGGGTTCCAAGTGACATACATACAATTCGTGGGCTACTTCTATCAAATTCTACAAAGTCATAATAATTAAAATTACGAATTTAAGCTTTTTCAGCTACCATTTAATTTATTTTGTCATTTTTTACTAGTCAGTCTTGTAACACTTGAATCAGATACAAGCGCCACTTCGACTCGAGGAATATTACTTTGTATAACGTGCCTGAAACACAAAATCGATTGGTCGAATGCGGTCACTTTTTCAGAAACTTTTGTATTTTAGCATTCATTTATGATTTATGCTTTAATAGTTTAAAGATCATTTTTTTAAATATCTATCTTAAATAATTTTTAATAATTTATTATTCATACCTTTATTAGATGACGAAAACTCATTAACATTAACGATTTATAGAACAATGTTTCCCGCCGAAATTATAATGATGTAAGTAATTTTCATAAGACTTCAGTATTGACCGATATTTTTAAGCACAAAGAGATCTTTTGAGGGTATATTGATGTTAAATTTCGTTGTACTGATTGAAAACAGTTTATGTATTTCAGATGGGTTTTTGATAAAAAAAATTTAGGATACTATTGAACGAGTCGATGGTGACAGGGTATGGCGCGGCGCGGGGACGGTGCGCGCACGTGGCCGCGCGCGACTGCCGCGGCCGCCGCCCTCCGAACCCGGCCCGCGCCCCGCGCCCTCACGCCCGCTCCCGCCGGCTGCTCCCGCCCGGACACCCGCTGCCTTGCACACCATCTATTACATCGATTCTCTCCACATTTCACTAAATGTTAAATGAAACAATGTCCCGCTACCATTTCCTACAAATTTTCCCATCCCTTAACAACTACATACGGCAATTTCTTATGCAGAAGCAAATATTCCTACTAACATTTTCAATTTGAGTTCAGGGATGAAACTAGAAAGTAGGTCATTTCCTGATTTCATTTTGCTGCGACGACGCTATCAGAACGTAATGGCACTGTAATCGCATCAGGTCCGGGCGCGCAAATTGCACAGAGTTAACTTTTATCGCTAAACGATGATGAAGTCCCCTTAGCGTTAGTTTATCATCGATAAACACTGCATCAGGAACATGTTTCTTGAAATTCATATACTTAATAATTTTTCATTATCAAATGGGTATAAAAACAATAATGAGGTCATCAAAAATTGGAATGTAATTGTAATAGGCTAGTCAGAGAAAGTCATTTTTAGTTCGATAGCGGGTTTTAGCGCGGACAGGAGCAGACAGGAGCTTTTAACGGTTATATATGATTTTAGGTATGTAATTTATGTGCGTTCTATAACTTAAAAGGCTTAGCCGAATATGAAGTGTAAGGTGCTCATAGGATTCGAATTTTTCGAAAAATCTTATACGTAAGAAGGAAGTTTATTCAGATAAATACTTAAAATATTTACTGTCTAGTTCAACATAGAAATTACGTTTTAAAAATATCCGTAAACGAATAGAATTGTGTACTAGATATCCTAAAGTATTATAGTAAGTATTTAAACATATATGTCGACTCTAGATGTAAATAAATGGATTTGGAGCGCTGCGCAATATCGAAGTCATCCCGACGTCACATAAATACAGCCATAGACGTAAAACAAACGGAACGTTTATTAAAATTCTTTTATATTTTAACACAACACAAAATGATTATTGTAACTCTTGGGATATCATTTTCAATGATATCCTGATTTCAACGATGATATCCTTGTTGTTATTAGTTTTAAGATTATTTTTGAAAGTTGATACCACGGTCGAATATATAAATATATGCAAGGAAATGCCGCAAATAAGTAATTATGAAAGAAATACACAAGGCGACATGAGTGGTTTAGCTTCTTTGTATTTATGTACATATTTTAATGTGCTTGATATAAAAAAAATCCTCGCTGCGGCATGAGATCACAGCTTTTTCTTTTGTCATGATTTGACTCGTATATTATTAAACAAATATTTATTTGTTCTTCAATGAAGCATTAAATAGCAAGTTAATTAGATGCATTTAGATATACATTACGATTCTAATTTCTAAACATTTATTGGCGTAGGTAGTAAGTCGGAATAAGATAACGTAGTAGTTTTGGATGTGGCACCATTAATGTTACTGCTACATACAACTGTGCAAATATTGCGAGATAAGATAAAAATAATAAAACATTTACAACTTGATGGTTGACATGAAGCACGTATGACGTCATACTTCTGATGATTCGACCCTTGCATAACACAGAGCACGTTACGAGAACCGACTGTTGAAATCACATTACAATCAATAACATCATGTATACCTTTTTAAAAGTAGTATTACTTACATAATTGATATATTGTAGGTGCTTTATAAACATATACAGGCACATCGGAAAATTATAGCCTCTTTTTGTCATTTGTATAGTCGCCCTTATTGTTTGATTATGGATGTAGGTGCCAAATCATTATTCCATACCTAGAATATCCATGGCTAGAATACCTACTTTAGAATATCATTGAGCGACAATGATCAAGGATTACTTAGCGAATAAAGAACAGGATCTAATATAAGAACGGTTACCCACGTTTTTATTGTTCACCCACAGAGCTTACGTTTGTTTTGAGATTTTTTTGTGATAATCGAAAGCTTAGACTGAACCTATGACTTTAAAGTACGTACACAAGCAGTCGTATACAGACCTTTGCTAACGTTTTAACAAAGTAACGGCTGGTGCCGAGGCTCCTGAGGGAGCCCTCAAGCTTATTTATAAACGAGGTTTAGGCTAAGCACCATCTGCGTTCGGCCACCTCAAGCCCTGTGAATCTGTAAAAGCTTCTTCAAGGCAAACAGTGGCCATTCAGTCACAAAAAAAGCAGACCTTCGCGTTGTCATATAAAATTTAATCACTATTATCATAATGTTAAACACTTTAGAGTAATAGATATTCATCCCAATCATCATCATCATCATCATCATCATCATCTCCTTATCCTACTCCCGTAGGGTCGGCGCAACAGGTTTTTGTCCTCCACATAACTCTATCATACGTCATCTCAGTCATCACTCCCTTTTTGATCATGTAACCTTTTACACAATCCATCCATCTCTTTCTAGGTCTACCTCTACCGATGTACCCTTCCACACTCATAACTAACGTTCTCCTTGTAACATGCGAGAGTGATAGATATTCAATAGAGATAAAATTCACTGATAAGAAGTCAGCACTAATTCACATATTTGAGTTCTCAATTGACTAACAAAATTCTTATATTTTTAAAGATCTTGTATTGCATTAGTTAAGCACCAGATAATGTAATATTCGAGTTCGAATCCTGTGATTTGTTTTTCGATTTTTGTATTTCATATGACTTACATAGAACATTTACCCGACGACCTAACAGCACGAAATCGCCAAGGGGACAGAGAGGGCAGCTGACCACCTTAGAGAATCCAAAAATGTAAAATAGATATAAAAAAAAACTACTTCGTGTAGGACAATATCGCGATGCGACTTGCTCTTTAACACTGCGAATAAATTCAGAATATGTGTGAATTACCGCACTTGGTGAGCTTGGTTGGCAAGCAAAGGCCTAATCACTGTAGCAACTTTAGGATAGACTCGAGCTCATTGGTGGGAAATTGTATAAGCTTTAGATTTGATTATTTGTTGTCATTACATAGCCAATAATCAACAATGGAATCTTAAAATTATGTCTTTTATTTATTTTTTACATTTCACGCGGGCGGTAGCTATTAAATATAAAATTAAAAAATGGTGCCTCTGCCCAAGAGTAAATAAAGTCAACTGTTTACTGATTGTGTACTCTTTGCTGCTTGCTATCACTGTCATGCTACTGTCACAAATCTGTCGTAATGTCAAATGTCAACAACTGGACGGGAAGATGCGGGCAGAAGGAGATTGATCACAATAAAATGTAATAAAAGCAACAGCAAAGCAATATCTAATTACAAGTATTTCTACATTGTGTTTTTAAAAAGAAAGCTTCATTTAAACCGAATTGAATTTGCTTAACAAGATCATATCATTAATGTTCCGATAAAAGTTTTGAATTAATTTCTCCAACATGGATCCATGTTTTCTAAAACCAGTACAACCTCATATTTTTAAAGCCATCAAAGACATAGACATAAATGTACTCGTAAAGTCAACGCCTGATGAAATCAGGCCCATCATACCATGTCTGGTTCGAATGGCTCTAATATCACCCTTAGATGTGACACAATATTGTGCTGAAGCCAAAAAGGAGATACTTACCCTATTATCTGGCATAGATTTAGTTAACTTTATAGTATCACTCCTATCTATCGAATTTCATACACTAGAAGTGGATCTTAAGAAAGAACAGCAAATGAGGTAAGTAATGTAAAAATTAGTGTCTAAAAATAAATGTTGAAAATTAGGTTTGGTGTAAATGAAATGTTTTTAATTATTTCATGTTTAGAAAATAATTATTAAATTATGTTATTACATGAATTTTCAGACAAAAAAGTGGTACTCAAAACACAGAATCATTCCTGATTCCCAATCCTGTAAATGGAATATCAAATGACTTTGAACAGTCGGATTCTGCAAGGCGTGTCCGCCTTGTTTTATCAGAAATATTACAAATGCAAGCCCAGATTGTGGAGTATCAGCAAAATAAACATGCAAACAATGATTGTTCAGTAAAACCCTCTGAACTTTTTGACAATGATGTTTATTTAGAGGAAATAACTGATGTTATTTGCATAAGCCTTGCAGAACTACCCAACTTGCTTAACATCTCAGATATTGTAGAAGTGCTTCTTCATGTCAATAAGGGTCCAGTTATAGTATCATGGATTGTTGCAAATATGCCCGATACATTATATGAAGGTATTAAACTTAATTATTTATATTAGTTCACATTTTATTAATGTTGCAAAATTATAAATCCATTTTCCAGTGGCTGAATCCCTTGTTGTTAATGCTGAAAGAGGTGAAGAAGGAGGGATTCGTGCAAAAGCATTGATGAGCCTATGTGCAATGTGTCCCTATTTATCTGCAACTGTTCGAGCAAAAGCTGTTTCAGCTTCTCGTCTACCGGCTTTGGTTTTGAATCTTACATTAATGCATCATCAAGAAGATTTGGTGAGCTATCAAAATCAATTTAATACTGTATAGTATACACATCAAGAATTTAACAACACTGGACAAATAACCCATATTCAACTTTAAAAATTGTTTGTAGGGTTTGCTTTAATCCTAGTTATATTTTAGGTTTCCTTGATGTCAGGTCTGTTACTTGGATCTGATCAGTCAACAAGGGGTTGGTTTGCTACATTTCTTAGAAACTCTCACAAAAGAGGGAAAGGTGATGGTAATGCCGCATTAATAAAACTACGACAAGAATTGCTCAAGAGATTAAAGGATGCCTCAGCTGGTGTTGAAGCATCAGCATTATTGAGATTGTACTGTGCATTAAGAGGGATTGCAGGAATTAAATTTCAAGATGATGAAGTATCAGGGCTTCTAAGATTAGTTACACAGAAACCTCCACCTACACCAGCGGGTGTTCGTTTTGTATCTCTTAGTTTGTGTATGATTCTGGCATGTCCATCATTAATGAGTAAGTTGGTTCAAAATATAATTTTATTACTTTAACATTTAAACATGCACAAAAGTAAGTCTATTATTCGTTTATCATATTCAAATGTGCTATGTTTTAACAGCTGCAGCAGATCATGAGAAAAAAGCAATAGAATGGGTACAATGGCTTGTCAAAGAAGAAGCTTACTTTGAAAGGTAATATTTTAGATAATTACCTACCGAGTTCCATTTTTCTTTCCTTTTTGTTAATACAACTTGTATTGCAGTAATTCAGGGGTTACGGCATCGTTTGGAGAAATGCTTCTATTAATTGCAATACATTTCCATTCTGGCCAACTAGCTGCAGTGGGCGAGTTAGTTTGCGCCACACTGGGCATGAGAGTTCCTGTTCGACCAAATGGATTAGCTCGCATCAAGCAAGCATTTACGCAAGAAATATTCACTGAACAGGTAAATCCCCACACATAACAAATTTACCTGTTTAGATTTGTAAATTCATTAACATATTTATCCTTTTTGTAGGTTGTTACTTCTCATGCAGTAAAAGTTCCCGTTACTGCAAATCTTAATGGAAACATCCCAGGATATTTACCTGTACATTGCATTCATCAATTGCTGAAGTCTCGTGCATTCTCCAAACATAAGGTTCCAATCAAAAATTGGATATACAAACAGATATGCAATTGTACAGCGCCATTACATCCTGTAATGCCAGCACTGGTTGAAGTTTATGTTAGCTCTATACTTGTTATTAACAATAAAGGAAACAGTGAATATGTAAATAAACCTATAACAGAAGAAGAAATCAGAAAAGTATTTAGAAATTCAATTTTCGGTGTGAATTTCGACCAACAAAATAAAGGATTCTCTCCAATGGATACAGACACTGGAGAGTCCTCTGTGGATTTTAAAATGGAAAAACCGACTCTTGCTTCGCAACTTTTGTTAATCTATTATCTTTTGCTTTATGAAGATATCAGACTTTCTAATGCAGCTACACTTATAAGTAATGGAAGAAAAATAAAAAGTTACTCTGCAGCTTTTCTTTCCGAATTACCGATTAAATATTTGTTACATCAAGCACAAAAAGATCAAAGAAGCTATGGGGTACTTTTCAGTCCACTTCTGCGTCTTTTGGCAACACATTTTCCACAACTATCTCTTGTTGACGATTGGATGGATGATCAAGTATTTGGAGATTCTTGTCGTCACCAAATTGATGTTGAACTATCGGAATCATCCATTAATGAAGCATTTCAGTGCATTGAAGATAATCCATACAAAACAGGAAAAGTGTTAAAAGCAATGCTTAGCAAAAACCCTACAGACATTTGGCCGTTTGCTGAAATATTTGTAAAGTATTTCAAAAGCGTACTCAGCGACCAAGTACCGCGACATATTCAAGAATTGTACCGCGAAGTTTGGTTACGTCTTAACACTGTTCTGCCGCGTTGTCTTTGGATTATGACCATTAATGCTTTACTTGACATTAATGGAAATGGCAGAAACGTTACAATTACGCAAGAAAATGTATTAGTTGACCCATTACAAGTTTTAAGGTGCGATACCAGAGTGTTTAGATGCGGACCAATATTAAAAATAATACTTCGGATTTTAGAGGCTAGTTTAGCTGCTTCAAGGAGTCAGCTAAGTCGTCATTTGTTAGACAAACCGCTTCTCGAAAAAAGTGGACAGTTGACATCGGATTCAGAAAGAGAAGAATTAAAAAATGCTTTGGTAGCTGCCCAGGAAAGCGCAGCATTACAAATTTTGTTAGAAGCGTGTTTGGAAACAAGTGAGGATGAGTCTAAACCCGAGTTGATGTGGTCATTGCGAGAAGTCAGAAGTATAATTTGTTCTTTTCTGCATCAAGTATTCATATCTGAGCCCTCGTTGGCCAAACTTGTTCATTTCCAAGGATATCCTAGGGAGCTGTTACCGGTCACTATTCAAGGTATCCCCTCGATGCATATTTGCTTAGATTTTATTCCAGAGCTTTTAAGTCAAGCATCCTTAGAAAAGCAAATATTTGCAGTTGATCTCGTTTCCCATTTGTCTATACAATACGCACTTCCAAAGGCGATGTCGATCGCTAGATTGTGTGTTAATACGCTGTCTACTCTCCTGTCCGTATTGCCGAGTGATTTGCGATTAGATTTATTTCAGCCGGTTTTGAAATCGCTCGTGAGAATCTGCACCGCGTTTCCGTCATTGCTGGAAGATATAACATCATTATTGCTGCAGCTGGGAAGGATTTGTGAATCGCAGGCGTCTCTCGGCCATTGCTGGAACGACACAAATATTTTAGGCGAAGGTGCTTATGTTTCTTCAGACGTACAGAGCGACACGAAGGTTCTGGTGGCTGAAGTTTTGTGCAGAGATATCAAAGTAACAATGTCCGAAATAGTACAGAAAGCTCTGTTAAACGATAAGTTATATTAAGCAATATGAAATAAATGATTTATCAATGTATTTATTGTTTTATTTTTAAAGACTACTAGCTTTCGCCCGCGACTCCCACGTTGAATTTAAAACAAAGTAAATAGCCTATGTGATCTTCCAGAGTATGCCAAATTTCATCGACATCTATTCAGCAAGTTAGGCTACAAACTTTAACAAGCATACATCCGTCCATCTAAACTTACACATTTATAATATTAGTAATAAGTAAGATAAATCATTTGAAAATAGCTATAAATATTTTAGTTATGTCTCTTACACAACATACTAGAGTAGAGGCGAAACGACCTTTAAGTAAATCTGATCACTTGTTTCTCAATTATGTGGTTGCAATAGAAAGTCATTTTTAAGTGTATGAAAGATCATTTAAAAACGGTATTAACATATTTTTAATACATAATATGTAACATATTGGACAGGTCGACTGGATTTTGTGTTTCCAACTGTCGGTACATCCAGGCGCATTGATTTCTTGCTGCAATATTTCCCACGTCGTTATACAATTGTGCCTGGAAGATAAAAGTATTTTTTTTTATTTTGCAATTAAACGGTCCTAATAAAATTGATTAGTGCTAAAAGAACTGTTAAGATAAATATTAAAAGTTTAAGGTGAAAAAGATCTCAGCAAAATGTTTATGCCAACACTAACGGTTACAATTTGTCCAGGCCTGTGTCTAAACTTTCGTTACATAAACATGTGTCCAATTTACTACAACTTGATGTATTGATGTATTGATCATGATAAGTATGTTAATTATTACTCTTAAGTTGTTTAAAAATACACATTGTTATTTACCTGTATGTACCACGTCTGTAACAACCTAACTTGTGCGCCAATTTTGCAAAAGTTCTCCTTCACAGACTCGAGAGCTTCACAACAAGATTGAAATACTTGTATCCGAGCCTCGCCCGAGGGCGGAGCGGTCGCGATGCGGCATTTTGTATAAAGCAACAATCCTAAAACGGCAATGGTTATAGTTTAACATATTAAGTAAAAATTGCGGTATATACTGCTGAAGAAGATAACATTTGATATAATAACCTCTGGCCATGTCGTAAGCGCTGCCGTGCGCCATCACCAGCGGAAGGACTTTCCTGACGAGCAGCAGGGCGTTCTTGGCGCAGCCCATATGCAGCTGCACGTTGGCGATGTGCATCTCGACGGTGGCGGCCAGGTAGTGCAAGTGGAACTTCTTCGCCCACGACAGCGCCTCGTTCAACAGCAACACGTTGGTGGACTGCGTGGCGCTGTAGGACAGCTGCACCTGCGACATCAGGATCATCGCCTGCAGCCGCAGCGGCGCGAAGTGCAGGCTG